TTCATGAGACATGGATGTTTGGGTCCCCATTTTAAGGCTCTTCCTCGCAGTAGTGCCATCAAGAAAACTAAGGCACACTGGGAAACAGGCCACGTCCTGACAATGCACCAAACCTGGTACACACACACACACACACACACACACACACACACACACACACACACACACACACACACACACACACACACAGAGAGAGAGAGACTGGGAAAGGAGGAAGTGGAGAATAGGGAGCAACAACAGTGCAAAAAAAATGGCAGCTCACACTTTGAGGACCGACGGACCGTGACAAAATTATGCATAAACTACGTGACTTTGCATCTTTCATCTCTTTGTGTATGAGAACCTCCTGCCTTTCATGTATTACTGTTTAGGTTCAAAGTTTGATTGTATAAAGGCATGCATTGACTTGAAAAAATGACTCCCCTCAAATGTCTTAAACCAAAAGCAACAAGCTTGTTTGGAAATTGTGAAGAGTAGAAAGTCCAGATATTGGTGTGAAAATGTAAGGATTAAAAGGAAAAAGGAAAAATAATCAAGTAAAACACAGATATTTAAAAATTCTACTACAATACATTAATCAAGGGTATGTACTTTGTTACTCTCCACCTCTGATCATGACTGAGTAAATGAACATGGTCATGGAGATGCTCTGACCATCTGTTGCTCTAAAGTGTTCTCTTCTTCACATTAAAACGTTTCTTAAAATCTAAAATCTGGTCATTTAAGGAAATTCTCAAAACAAAACCCTCCATGAATTAATTCTAACTGTTGTCAATATGTTGCATTTATTAAAGACTTTCTTTATGAAGATGGCTTTGTGAGTTTGAGTAACGTTGGAGGAGGGGACAACGAAACAATACTCGGGCATTTCTGCCCTGATATCACCCCAGGGACCCAAAAGAATTGGGTGCAGAGACAAAGAGATCATTCACAGCTTATCAGATGGAGATTTTCTGAGTTTTACAACACCAAGAGAGGAGGCAGTCATCCACCAACAGGTCTTAATTTGAAGCACATTCAGTAAAGAAGGGGAAGGTATGTAATCTGTTCAAGAAAATTGCTATTATAGCTTCTTTAAACTGTTTTACCTCATCAAACGATAAATAGCAGATACTAGACAAGGAATCAGTATTTCCATAGTTGCTAATAGTGTGAAGTTTTGCTTGGTAGTTAGTGGCCATTAAAAAGCAAAACGGTGGAAAATCGTTAGTTGCCCTTAACCGAGACTGTGAGAAGTTGTGACTGTGCCTGGCAGTGAGCTACTGTCCTTTGCCGTTGTCCCAGTGTGAAAAGACAAAAAGACTCATCATTCAATAACAGTTAAAAATGTCTATATCATATGTAGGTACTGGGTTGTCACAAGTTTTGGGCAACTCATTTGACAATTTGCCAGATTGACAATGTTAGGCTAAGATATTACTGAACATATGATTTTGACTCAAGCTTCCAGCAATGCTGACATCACACAGCATGACAACAGAGATGGAAGAAACATT